ACCTCCGACCAGGTAGGAAAGTTAAGGTAATCAGCTCGAGCTCATCGCAGGTTTTTTCCAACGCCCCGTCCTCCCGCTGGCTCTCTGCCGCTTACTCTGCTCCTGGCCATTGTTCTGGCAACAGTGAAATTCTGAGAAGCCAAAACACACAGTTTATGTGCAAAAATAAAAAAGTGATTTTGTCTCTCGCTTCGATGTATCTGTATCTGTATCCGTATCCGTATCTGGGCTTGTTTGGTGTGTGTGTGTGTGTATTTTTGTGAAAACCGTTGAGCCCGCAATAAAGTCATCAATCATTGACATTTGCCAGCGTTTCGGTTTTGTTGAATTTCGTATTTTGAAAAATTATTCAATTGGCGCCGAGCCCGCAGAAGAAAAAATGCAGCCAAAAGCGTTTTTTGCTGTTTTAGATTACAGAACTTAAGGTTGAGTTTACAAAATAAAAAAACATACATTATATTAATAAATATTAAACAATTTCAATAAAAATAATATATAATTTAAACTTTAAAGTACGAATTTAAATGAGTGTATTTTGACTTGGTTTGTAGTGTATGGAAACTTGTAAACTAATTATTTTTTATTTACAAATCATAAAATAATAATAAAAAATCCCCCATATTTATTACGTATATACTTCTATAATAATACATTTCTTTTATAATTTAATCTTTAAAACCCTAAATACTAACCTAAAACATTTTCAAAAGTAAACACTATAACCAAACATTCTCCTTCAGCCATCAAACCCGCCTCGATTGGCTCCCCATTAAAGCTTTATAAAAGTGTAAATAATTGCATAATTCACTTCATCATCCAAGGAGCGTACAAGTCCATAAAAGACTCATTAAAAAAACACTTGCACTCAATTAAATCGAGTCGAGTTCGTGCTGGTGAGGATAAGGGGGAGAGGGAGCTAATCAAACAAGGGTCGCAGCCACCAGGACAACGTTGAATGCTAAACTTTGGCCCGCAGCATAATTGCACAACAAGAACAACAACGACGAGGCGCCTGGAAAATGGAAAAACGAGTGCCTGCACTTAGGCGATGGGGAAAACGAAACGGGTAGAACTGGGGACAGTGGCTTAATGAGCTTGAAAAGGGGGTAACAGGGGGGTCGGAGGCTCTCGGCTGGATGCGAAAACTAACCACAAAGTTGTTGAATGCTCTTGCGGCAGCCGGATCCTGTGGCCCGTTGTAGGTGTTAATGAATAAAGTTGTTTTGTGGTCCAGTCGAGAGTCCGGAGGAGTAAAATGGAAAAGAATCGCGTAAAAAAAGATGGCTGTGTGTGCCCGTGTAAACCGCACACCATGATGAACGCCATCTATCCAAACACAAACACACAGACAGACAGACACAGGTGTCAACTGGGGCCCAAGCAACAACAAGAACAAAAAACAACAACCACAAAGCAGACAAAAGTTGATTGTGTGCCGTGTTTTTTGTGCTGGGAGAAAGAGGTGCCAAAAGGGGGGCAGGAAGGGACAGGAGGCTGGACATGGAAAATCGCAGACGTGAAGGTGACAAGTGCAAAAGTTAACACAACCGGAATTCACACAGGGGAACAGAGGGAATGGAACAAAACGGGAAATGCAACTTTCTGTCAAAAAATATTACAGTTTCAGAGGATCAAAAAAGGAAAAACAGATAACTTTAGTAACAGTATTATGGCTTATAATTTATTTCATGCAGTGACTCCTAATAATAACCTTTTCAGATATGATTAAAATAAAATAAAATATGAATACAAATAAAATTATAAGTTAAAAAAACTAATTTTACGGTTAAAAAATATATTACAATAATAATAAAATGAAATAAAAGTCTTACTTTATATACGATTATAAATATAAGTCATATAAAGAAAATCTAAATAATAAATAATTAAAAAAAGGCTAAAAACTTAAAAAAGAAAGGAAAGAAAAAAAGGACATAAACTTCACATGATTTAATAGATATATATTCTATTTTAAAGATTTTTGATAATATTTTCTAAGCAATTAAAAACGTTCAAGCAATTTATTTTTGATTTAAGCATGCAATTTGAAAATCGTAAGTATGAATTTCAAAAAAATTGTTTTTTGGAATTCAAATAACAAAATAAACCGAAAAATTATTTATTTAAGAATTTTTCTACAATTTAGTATTATACGTATTATGTATTATTTATTATCTAATGTAACAATATCTCCGACTAACGAATAAAATCTTAAATTAAATTTTTACATTACTCATTCCAATTAAGAATTTTTAATATTCTTACGAGAATAAATCAGAATGACAAACCCCTAGCTTACCATCAACACTTTTGAACAGTATTAATCAGAAATAAATGCATTAACTTTCATACTTTTGTTTTGCCGGCGACTTAACAGTACAATTGCTGTCAGGGGCATGATCTATGAGAAGTTGAAGTTTATGAAGCAGAACCCTAGAGCTTAACGCAAATTAATGACTTTGATTCCAGTGGCTGTTGAACTTGTTCCATTGGGGTTTATGGCCGAGCATGTAGGGCTCATTAGAAGCCCCGAAACAGAGTCATTAAAATCAATTAACCAGGGTGGAAGCCAGGGAAAACCCAACATAAAATGCAAAAACACAAAACAAAGTTGCCAGCAGTCGGGCCAGAATTGTGCATAATTGCTTTAAAATTGCGCCACTCGATTTAATAAACCCCACAGCAGAGAGAACAATAAGCGGAGGCATAATGGAAATTCCAGGCCTATGAGACCGGGTCTCCAGGCATTATCCTGCTATGGCAGCATCCTTCGTTTATTAAATGGCGTGGACAAAGGGAATCGGAGTAGAGGAAAGCTAGACATCAGCAGCAACATCCAGCAGCAGCAACAAGAGCAATCTCCAACAGCATTCTGGTATATCCAGAAAATGGCATTTCATATTGCCGGGCATATTTTACACATTTTGTTTTGCTTTAATTTTGGCTTTCCATATTTTTTCGCTGTCCCCTCTTTGTTCTCTCTTTGCTGTTTTTGTGCGTGGGCCTTAACAAGTTTTTCTGGGGATTATTCGGCTTATTTTTTATATAAATTAAATTAAAATATTATACATCTCCTTTTTGGGTGCTTCATTAGGGAAACATTTAAAAGTAACCACCGCTGGCGGACCGAAATAAATCTTTCACAGAGATTCGTCAGAAATAAAACACAAAATTAGCCGAACAAAAAAGCAATTTTTTCCTAAATTGTTGTATCTGTGTTTGCCTCGGACAAAACAACGTTTTCTTTTGCACACTCATCGAAAGGTAATTAAAATGTTTCGTTTTGATTTTTGAGACGCCGCCATATTGTATTCGAACAATCATGTGGCATTATAATGATCTCGGGGGGCATTGTGAATTGGTTACTGTGTGTACGATATGATGATATTTTTGACTAATTTCATATTTCATTTTCCCCCATCGAGGGTGATGCAGCAGAAAAGCGAGTTTTTTAGGGTCTCTGATTTCTGTATGAGTCTATGATTGGTTAGCGTTGGACTGGGCAACAAATTGGAAGAGATATTGAACATACTGATGGACTTTCAAGTGGCCGACGCACAACTTCATTAGGGATCGGGGCCTTTAACCTCTGGCGGGTAGCGGGCACTTGAAGTGCGGACTCCCTCTCCTCCGCTCACTGCATAAATCAAAAATTCAATCAGCATCGTTGGCCGGGTTAAATGTCCCTTGGCTGCTGGTGTTTGTTTTTATTGCAGTGACACCAGCACCAATAGCAACACCATCCAGGGAAAACAAACACACACATGTGTTGACACGTGTCAAAACTTCCGCTTGTAATCGCTCGGAAATGCTTCTTTGGCAATCCGTGGCTTGGCCCTCTCGAAAAAGCCATCGAAACCCCGAAATTGGGGTAACTCTCGCCGGGATTACTGACTGTTTCGCACACATTCCACTCCTCTAGTTTTATTTTATTTACGTTTGCGATTGCCGCCTCTGTAGCTGCTTTGGTTTCTGTTCTGGTTACTTGCCATGGTACATTAAGCTCTTGATTTAGATTATGCAAAGGTTATTTATGAGCCGGTTTCCACTCTCCAACGATCGGGAGTGGGTCGAAATTTGATAAGTGGGTGAGTAAAACGGAGCAGGGCAGTCAAGTATGTGTTTATGGATCCACGAGATATAGAACTGTCTAAAGTGGTGCCATTAAAACAGCGAGAACTGATTGGAGGGGTCAATATACCATGGCAAACAATGAGTTTTAAGATTATAATGATTGAGAAATTTACTGAATAGGTTTAGCAAATATATTTGTATATATAAACAATTGTGGATGGTAAATAAATTTAGGTTGGGATAAGAGGAACTTTGGTTTACAAAACGTTATTTATTATTTAATTTAAATATTTCCTATAGAACGTTATTCTTATGCTTCCTTTGAAGTGTTTCTTAACCAGACCTTTTCTAGTTTATCCAAAACATTTATTTTTCCCGAACCGAGATCATATCTTTCTCAGCCTAAAGCTAAAGTCAAGAGCTGTTCACAGGCTTAGGAAAATATTTGCAGAGTGCCAGAGTCGAAGTCAAGCTGCAGTCACAGGAATTATCCTTGCCGTGAGGACAACAACTTTACCGGGGATTTGCCGGGGGTGGGAGAAGGGCTTAAGTCGCAGGTTTACAGGTGTCGTAAAAGAAGGCCCGAATGGCCAGTGGCCGGGTTAAGCCAGGTAGTGTGGGCGTTGCACCGACTTTTGCCGACGGCAACACGCCCACCTCGCCCATGTCCGGGATTTGCCCAGGAGAAGGCAAAGGGTTAAACCCAAGGCAAGGTGGAAATCATGTTGTGGCCAGGGAAATAACTAAAATTTCATTTCCTAGACTTTAACTTTAGCTACACATTTTAAAAATTAATAATACTACAAATTTGAAAATGGATATTGCTGAGTTTAGAAGTATTCCACGATTCGATAAGTTCCGGACTCCAAATAACTTTACTGATTTTATCTCCCTGACAAGAACTCTTATTATTTCGCTATACTTACCGGTGTGCGTTCGCTTGTGGATCTTGAGATTCTCGCTCCGGGCAAACACCTTGCCACATCCCGGATGCGGGCAGGCGAAGGGCTTCTCGCCGGTGTGGACGCGGATGTGATTGACCAGCTTGTATTTAGCCTTGAAGGGGCGTCCGTTGCGGGAGCAGCCGATCCAGAAGCAGGCGTGGGTGGTGCACTCTGGACCGCCGACATGCTCCACCGTCAGGTGGGTCACTATCTCGTGCATGGAGTGGAAGACCTTGTTGCAGGTCTTGCGCCCGCCAGCCTGCACCAGGCCCGGCTGATCAGGATCTATCCAGAGGCACTGCATCTCCTGCTTGATGCTGGAGGCGGACGAGGCCGGCTGGTGTCGCATGTAGCGCAGGAAGGCCCCGGCTCCCGCGGGATGCATGGCGGACATGGCATGGTGGGCCGGATGATGCACGGCAGGGTGGTGCACTGCTGCCGCCGGGAAGTTGCCGTGATGGTTGTACGGGTGTCCCGCGGCATAGGCGTCCGCCATTCCCATCCGCATCTGGTGCTGATGATGGTGTGCCGCCGCCGCCGCATGATGGTGGCTGTGGAACGGGTGCTGTCCAAAGCCTGTGCTCAGCTCGGCTGCCTGGGCGGGAAAGCTGGAGAAGATCATGGAGTCCGCCGCTGCAGTGGCCTGTCCGGCGCTGCCGGCCACGCCGTATTCCGAGTCCCGGCGTCCGAGCAGAAAGTCCCGGGAGGCATAGCTGTTGAAGTGTCCGTAGCCAGAGTTCTGGTAGGCCGCCGCTGTGGCCGCCGCGGAGTCGGCACTGCCCTCCAGTTGCTGTTGCTGCTGCTGCTGCTGTTGCTGCTGCTGTTGTTGCTGCTGCTGCTGCTGCTGGGCAACAATCTCGTGCTGCTGCTGCTGCTGTTGTTGTTGCTGCTGCGTGTTGCTGCTGCTGGAGGTGGTGTTCGGCGACATGCGCAGCCCATAGCTGGCCAGGTGGTGCTGGGCCGGCTCAATAAAGGCGTTCATCATCATTTTAAGAGAGTTTTATTTATGATTTGCACGTTTTCTATGTGTGTTTGCTATGTGTTTTGATACAATAAGTTTTAGTTTTCGATTCAGGCCAGGGAGCCCATCACCGCACTGAGGTCACGACACTTGGCTCCTTCTGCACTCTGTGAGCTTATTTCGCTATCTTGGTATTTGTTTAATATGTTTAATTTGTGTATTTTTAACTTATTTATTTTTGGTCAAACTCTAAGCACTCGCGCGCGGTCTCAAAGAGCGTTGCGTGTTACGTTTTCGAATCGCGCGCCAAGACTTGACGTTTCGAGATGCGCAGCAGGACTGAAATGCCAGCAGCTCCTGAAATTCCAACTCGCTGTGGGTTTCCGGCGATCGTGCGTGTGCGAGGGCGACGGCAAACTGGTTTCCCGCAATAGCGGTTCATCCGGCAGGCCCTGAGATAAAGCAGGACGGCCATAGTGCTGGCTCGTGGTGAGTTTCGGCGGAAGTGGTGTGTTTTGTTCGGCGTAGGCCATGAGTGCGAGCAAGATGGCCAGAAGAAAATGGCTGCTCTTAGTTGATTTTCGGGCAGCTGTTAGAGCAGTCCAGCAATACGCACCCAATCCAATTGGAATGCCAGCCGGAATATAGCCCTCCCGCTCTGGTCGGTCGAGTCAAACTGGTTTTTCGGAAATTAACACCCACTGTGGTTGGCCATGGGTGGTGGGTGGTGGGGCTGCGAGGCGGCGCAAGGGGAGGGGCGTGCGCGCAGCATGCGCCCCTGCGCCTGGGGCCCCAAGAGCTGATTGGACCAACGGGCAGCCAATTGAAAGCTTGCGGGATGCATTTCCCAGCGCCCACGAGCTCTGGCTTATTTTTCACTGTCACTCTGGACGAAATGTTTTTCATTATTTTCCGCGGCCTGCTTGCGCTGCCCCGGCTGTCAGTTTATCAAATTAGTTGTTTATTTTATTGATTTTAATGATGCTAAGCACATTCCGCGCGGATTTCTGGCCGCTCCGCATTTGTTTGGATTGCGCAATGAAGACATACGTTTTCATTAGCGCCGACCGCTTTGTTTTTCATTTACTAATTTATGGAATTTTAAATAAGCAGCCGTCGAAACAATGCATAATTTCGTATCAATTCGGCTTGATTGGATTCTGCTGAGTGTTAAGTGGCTGGGCAAATGGCCTTTTCGGGCTAGATTGTGAACTGATTTCTTGGTTGGAAGCGAGCGGTGATTAAAATATTTCCCTTTGTTTGGTACAATAATATTTTCGTTAATTTAATATGATTTTCAAATGAACGTATTTCATATTTGGCTCCAAACAAAGATCCTATGCTCATTTACGAATCTGCACGAAAAACATATTTCAATATTTATTTTTTAACGAATTTGGGAATAATTATATTTAGTTTTAATTGTTATACTTTGACTTTTCCTTTATTTTTATTGATTTTACGGAATTTATGGTGTTGAACTGCACATACTCTTGTAAATAAGTAAATTTATCGGTAGTTTAGACTATTTATTATAACAAAAAAAACTAACCTGAGTGTCACGATCATATAATATCGAATTCCAAAATCTTTCAGGAGAAGTTTCAGGAGTTTTTTAGTTTTCTGTACTCCGAAACTTAAGCTAAAATATTTATATTACTATATTTATTGAAAGTATTTTTGCTATTTTTCTTAAATTGAATTCCGATTTTTTATTTATAAAAGTATGTGTCCCAAATTAAGGCTTAATAGTTTCATAAATACAGGCTCTAGCTCAAACAGTCCGATTAAAGTCAACTCTGAAAATTCTAAGTCGTCGAAAAATCTTACTTTACACTTTACGACTTTCACAATATTCTTGAAAAAAAAAACCCATAAAATTACTAAACACCATTTCCCAACTTAGCTTATTTTATGAATAATTTTAGAATAACAATTTTCTAGCCCCACCTCGACCATAGAACCTGGATCCTCGGGCAATTAAAGCTTCGATTAAATTGTGACACTAAATGTCACCGGCAAACGATTCGGCTATTAAAATGTCAAAACAAACTCCGCGGCAATCGGTAATCGTCCGAATGTCAAGCCCGACCCCAATGCCATATTTGGGATCCGGGCAAGACCATAAAACTTGGAAAATTGCACCAAACTGGCGAGAGCTCCGATCCCGCAGCGCATCAACGACAAATGTCATTCGAAATGAAGCCATTGCTCCACATTGAGCTAGAAAAAGGAGGGAAGGGGTGGGGATCACGATGAAGATGGAAATGGCGATGGCGATGGCGATGGAGATGGAGACGTTGGCAGTTGGAGCTCAACTGAAGTGGATTTCTAGCGCATTGCCATAGAACCACTCCCATAAATAATGCATTTCGAGCCACTTGAAAATGGAAGCGCAAAATGCAATAAACTTTGTAATAACAGAAGCAAAAACAACAACTGTAATCAGGGGCCAGAGCAGGCCACAAATTAGAAATGTAAAATTCTTAGATAAACAATATGGCAAGATTACACAGCAGGTCGCAGTTTCTGTTGTTGCATCTATGAACATATCTCAAGTGGTCAGCCATGTAAACTTTCTGAAAAGCTGCCTAAAAAAGAACATAGTCTTCATATAAAAACTTTTTTTAAGTTTATTTCTTTAACACATCAATTGTTTCATTCCGAAAATATTGTACAATTGAAAGCTTTTGCCTTATAATGGAGTCCGAACAGATACACAAAACCATACACAAAATACAAACTCGGTATCAAGCTACCAATTATAATTTGAAATACTATTAAAATCTGACTAAACTATGATTTTCTTAATCTTAATAAAAGCATACACACTTCATTTTTAATATAAAGATAGCAAAATAAGGGACTTTGACCTTTAATAAGGCCTTAAACATTTCAATTTGTAAAATAGTTTTGACCATAGTTCGCATTAGAACCGATTTCTGCAATTAATAATTATTAAAACATTATTAATTAAGCTCTGAGTGCCTAAATATATGATCCATTCTAGGAAAATATATTATTTTACAGTTATTTACATATATTTTTCACATCACTTTCACCCCCAAGTGGCCTTAACCCTTAGGCTAGCCGAAAAATGCTGTGCTTAATCAGTTTGGCCACAACAAAGTGGGCAACCAGTGGGCGTTGACTTGGCCCAAATGGCCTCGTGTCATGGGAATCAGAGCCCGGAATCACAATCAAAACGTAGCGTGGCCTGGCGTGGACGCCTTTGGCACATGCCGCGATCACAGCGGTGTGCACGGTACAGGTCTCTCTTCCTGGGGTTTGCCCTGAGACTCGAGACTCTAGACTCCGAGACCCGGGATTCGAGATTCCAGACTGGAGTGCTCAAGAGTTCGAGTGTTCCATGCCAGAGAGTGAGAGGTCTCGCAGAGAAAGAGCGAAGGAGCGGGAGGCCAGTGTCAAAGGAGTGAAGTGGAAGCGTGGGAGTTTTCTCTCCAACTGGTTTTCCCCAGCATTTTCCTTGCCATTCATTTTTGTGTTGATGGATGTGCTGGGTTGGAATATTAAAATAATGAGAAAAGAATTATAAATTCAAATAATGGTGAAAAGATTAGGTAATGAAGGTACATGCAAAGGTTTTATAACTATATTTATATTTACACTTGTTACAAATAAAAGTATATTCTACTAAGTACAAATAATAGTAAAATTTATTGCTACATTTTAAATTATTTAAAATTTTCATAGATTTAAATATTCGGAACTAAGTTTTAAAATGTCAAATTTAAAGGACAATCACAGAATTCACTTCAATATTTCGATAATACTTGAAGTATTTACAAAGATATAAATAGTCTTAATATAAATTTACATTTATATATTTTTCATTTATTTATATTTACGCAGGTGATAATCACACTTCTCCCGCAACTTCAGCCACCCACTGAAAATTGCACAACCAATAAACAATTCAGGTAAATCAGACAAAGCTGAAAAGGAAATTCGCGAAACCCGCAAAAAATATTAAGGAATACTACTAATCCCAGGGCGTGAGGGTACATAGGAAGGTAGTACAAGGATTAACGAACCAACATAGCTTAGGAAAGTCAATTTTTTTATGACCATGCCATGAAGATACCGGAACAAGACAACAGACAACCAGCACGGCACACATCGCACTGAGAAACTGCAGATAGAGGAAAAATAAAATTTGGGAAAAATTATATGCCTCATAAAGATTTCGCTGGAGAGCGGGCGAAACGATTTGGCTTCGGACGAATCATAAAAAAAAGTGCGTGACAGGAGGAGAAGTACGAATAGGAGGGATACGGACATACCCCGGACAAGGTCATGTCAACCATAAATATTTACATGTCATAAACATCTCAAGGTGAGGGCCAGGATCAGCCCAGCTCACATCCTTTTTCCGCAATGCGTTTTCCATTGAACAGCAAAAAACAAAGGCAAGCGGAAATCTTGAAGCCTTGAAGCCCGTACGATTTTATGGCCACATCCAGCATTGGCAGGTAAGTCCACATCCACGTCCATGTCCATGTCGTTCGGCCGAGTCAAGCAGTCAGTCAACTTTCCGGCCGGGACTCTCCGATACCCCTTGTGATTTATGAGCTGTTAGCCAGGACTGGGCTGGATTTTCATTTGAATTGTGACTGCGATTGTCTTTGTTTGCCCAGAGGTTTTCTCGGCCATCGGGCATTTTTCGCCAGCATAAATTATGCCGTTGCCCGAGTCAAGTTGTTATTGTGGGCGTTGGTCTCTGGGTCGCTCAAACACCTCGGCTTACCTGCTCACCCCTCCGCAGTCCATGGACTCGGATACGCTTTCGAATTCCGACTCAGGTAGGGCGTTACCATTCTTCCAGCCTTAACTCTTTTGAGCCAATTATGTTGACCACTTCTGGTTAAATAGTTTAGTTTTCATTACGGCTCATGTCCTGACTTTGTAGTTCGAAAAAAAGGGTAAGAGGATTTGCGCACTTTTGTATTTCAGGCTGAACTACATTTTTATGTCCTGCGTGTCCTGGAAACGGAGAATGGTGACAGACATTAGCCTTGCTGTTCTGCTGTAAAATAACAAAATAATTGAAATAGCGTGTCATTTTATTACAACATTTGGCTTGTTTTTATATTGGTATAATATAAATAGTATACCTTAATTTTAAGTATTTCCTGTGTATATAAATTATATTCCTTAAATAGCTATGCCTTTTTCAATTGGTTTTCAAAGTTTAAATATTTAATTTATAACTCACATTTTAGGAACCTTAAAAAATGAGTTTTTCAATTAATTTTCTTTGTACATTTCCACGTTTTTTTTTTTTGCAAACTTAATATTTGGTTCATAAAACTCTATACAAAACTGTGTTTTTTAAAACCAATTTTTTAATATCCCAAAATATTCGTTTTAGATTAAAATTTATGAGCGCACAATGTAGGGGGATGGCAACCAACTCTTTTTTATTTTCGCTAGCTTGTGGGTTGGCTCAGTCGGCACTTTTAATTAATCGTTAATTATGGCTCATGGAAAAAGGCAACGCCATAGCCACCCACCTCCTCCCGCCCCCGCTGAGTGCAGTTACATGTACACAGAAGCGTTAATTAAATTTCTGCTTGCCTCTTGGCTCTCCTCTCGCGAACATCTCTTGGTACGGCGAAAGCCAGAATGAAGGGGACGCCCGGCCAGGCGATGGCTTGGTAAATAAATATCCATTTAATTTATGGTTTTAATTTTTATGACTACACAACTTCGGGGCAGACAATTTAGTAGTTTGGCGGAGCGTGGATGGAAATTTAATAACTTTGTTTATGCGCACACTAAATCATAACTAATGAGCGGCAGGAGCCGGAGTTTGGGTTAGCGATGGCCAAAATGAGATCGCAACTGGAAGTGGGACT